GTGCCCAAGACTATGTGACCGTCAGTGATTCACACGCTTGTGCCAAAAAAAGAGAGGTCAAAAATCTCACCCTTGTTCATCTGGTCTGTTGTCACACACTGCTGATCTTTCAATGTTTGTTTCCTGGGGAATTGGTCGAGACACATGGATATGCATTACATTAGCCCTAAGGGAGAATTCCTGTCCTAAATACAGGGTCTCCTCAAGCAGAAAAGCTTGCTATTAAAGGAGTTTCCCAAGGAAGGGAAAAAAAGGAAGCTACTTTTTTATTATTAAAAAATTTATAAAATTTTACAATATAAATCCCCCCCTTCCCCTTCCCACCCTTCCACCCCCCCTCCCTCCCCCCTCACTTCCCAGTGCCAATCACAGGGTTAACAATAACATAATCATACTCTAATTAACATTAATCAACTATTAAAATAACATATCTATAACCTCCTTTAACTCTCTTTTAAACAGTACAATTATTAAAACAATAATAATAACAACACTTTAATAATTAAAAATAATACTAAATAAAATATTCTAACCTTTATACAACCATAATACTCTAAAATTTACTCAAAAACCAAATGATATTTTTTAGTCCCCTATTTACGCTCAATATAATCTATCCATCTTCTCCAAACCAAAATATATCTTTCTTGCGAGTGATCCTTCACATAAGCGGAAATCTTGGCCATTTCTGCTAAATTCGAGACTTTAAATGACCATTCTTCTATAGTAGGTAAACGTTCCGTTTTCCAATATTGAGCTACTAATAGTCTTGCAGCAGTTATAAAATTCAACATCAATTCCATTTCTTTTGCATCCAAATCTTCCATAATACCCAACAAAAATATCTGCGGCTTAAACTTTTATCTTTTTCTTAAAAATATTTTGAGTATTCCACCATTTCTTAAGGAAGCTACATTTTGAGATACAGAAGCATTTGACGGCAACTTGAATTCTTCCCCAAAACATTTTTCTCTGTCTCTCTCTCCCTCTCCCTCTCCCTCTCTTGGAATTCTTAACTGTGGGGTCCCTGCAACTGATGAGCCAAGAGCAGGCAAGAGAGTTTCTTCCTTTCTACACTCACCCAATTCACACAACTGACTTTGTTCCGGAGACAGAGTCAGGAACTTAGCCTGCAACGCCTCCATGTCAGAAGGCTTTTCTCAAGTCATTAAAAAAAAAAAAACCTCTCGCCATTCCATCTCTCCTTCCATCTGCCTTCCTTTCTGCACATATCCTGACCAGCAAACAGATCCTGAAAGCATCACAGAGAGGGGATGCCACCATCTTGCTCTCAATGGACCAGGAAACTAAAGGACGGATGGGGATTCCCCTATGTTGGAATATTGCATCCAGTTTTGGTCACCACAATATAAAAAAAGATGTTGAGACTCTAGAAAGAGTGCAGAGAAGAGCAACAAAGATGATTAGGGAACGGGAAGATAAAACGTATGAAGAACGGTTGCAAGAACTGGGTTTTTCTAGTCTAGTCTAATGAAAAGGGTTAGGGAGTGACATGATAGCAATCTTCCAATATCTAAAGGGCTGCCACAAAGAAGAAGGGGGTCAACCCATTCTCCAAAGCACCAGAAGGCAGGACAAGAAGCAATGGATGGAAACTAATCAAGGGCAGAACCAAACTAGAACTAAGGAGAAATTTCCTGACAGGTAGAACAATGAATCAGTGGAACAACTTGCCTCCAGAAGCTGTGAATGCTCCATCACTGGAGGTTTTTAAGAAGAGACTGGACAACCATTTGTCTGAAATGGTAGAGGGTTTCCTGCCTGAGCAGGGGGTTGGACTAGAAGACCTCCATGGTCAATTCCAACTCCGTTATTTTGTCTTTATTTTACTTGAATATATGCAAAAGCCACCTCTAAAGCACAACTGAAACATCCTCCTCCATCTATTCCAAGATGCCCCTCCTTTTTGCTTCCCCATTTGACCTCAAAGAACCATGTAGACAGCATTCCTGGGATTCTCTAGTTTAAGGGATATTCTAATGCAGGGGTCTTCATACTTGGCCCTTTTATGACTTGTGGACTTCAACTCCCAGAATTCCTCAGCCAGGCACGCTGGTTGAGGAATTCTGGGAGTTGAAGTCCACAAGCCATAAAAAGGCCAAGTTTGAAGACCCCTGTTCTAATACAAGGCATCTTTCACAGGTTCAGGCAGGAGAATGGACCAACACATCTACTAAGTTTCCGTTCCAATTCAAGCTGGTTCTCCTTCAACAAAGTGAACCAACCTGCTGGCAGGTGAGGTCTTCCATGGGAAGGAATACCTCACCTGCCATCATGTTGGGAATGGGGTTCGCCGGTGCCGCAAGGGATCACACTCGGCTCGAAAACCAAAAGCTTCCTTGTCAGGAGGTACTTCCATGGCTCTTGAGCTCAGAGATACAGGCAAGCAAGAGTAATTAGAAGCCCAGCCATACTTTGAGGAAGGAAGAAGGGGAGTTGCTGTCCAGGAGAGACTAGCGCAAAAATGATACAGCGAGACTAGCCCAAAAATGATAACAGAGGTGTGAAGCCTCCACCAAGCTCAGCTGGACCTGCCATTCCCCCTCTGCCTTCCTGCTCATCCAGCAGGTAAAGAAGCTCCAGAGGGTTCCTACCTTGCTCAAGCAGTTTCCCTCAAGCATACCTGATTCCCGAGACCACATGGATATGTATGCATACCATTTTCCAGGCAAGTTGAAGATAGTTTCCCCTCCTTCTTCCTATAAGGTTTTCCCATGTCCCCATCTAGCCTAGAGCTTTTGGATCTCCTGCTCTCTCTATTCAAGGGCTAACTGGGACACACACACACACACACACACACACACACACACACACACACACACACACACACACACGGTCATTGAGAGAACCAGCCACAGTTGTTAAGTTGCATTAACAGAGGGATTCAATCAAGTTCACGTGAGGTACTAATACCACTCCATAAAGCCTTAGTAAGACCACACCTAGCACAGGGCTTTTCAACCTTTTCACCCATTGTACCACTTTTAGGATATGGCAACATCCGAGTACCACCAGTCGCCTAGCAAGGTGTCAAAAACTTGATGACCCAAAAAAAAAAAAAGGAAAAAAGTGATAAAGTACAGGTAGTCCTCGACTTACATTTCGCTTAGTGACTGTTCGAAGTTACAATGGCACTGAAAAAAGTGCCCCCCAAGCCACAGCCGAGCAAGACACCTGCCTGCCCACCCGTGAGCATTTCTGTTGAGGATTGGCAGCGGAGATGGGGTGGTGGGTGTTCGGTTTTTATTCCCCCCGTCTGCTGGGTGGTTGCAGCAGGTTTTGGTCACTTCACATGACCTTGGGACACTGTGACCGTCATAAATATGAATCAGTTGCCAAGCATCTGAATGTAAATCACAAGACCCTGGAGATGCTGCAACATTCCAGCTGATTGGTGCTTCTTCAGGGCTCAGCAGAAGCACCAGGATCAGCACCAGGCTCCTGCTGGAGCCTGGCACTGATCCTGGCACTTCCACTGAGCCCTGACAGCCCCGAAGAAGCGCCGATCAGCTGGAAAGCGGCACTGATCCTGGCGCTTCCGCTGAGCCCTGACAGCCCTGCAGCTCCAGCCATCTCTCACTCAGGCTTGTGCGGTGCTGCCACTGGTTCAGCTCATTCTCCTCCCCCGCTACCACTTTTCTAGGATGGTCGGGTACCTGGCAGGTGGTACCTGTACCACTGGTTGAAAAGCCCTCACCTAGAATACTGCAACCAGTTTTGGTCTCCACACTATCAAAAAGATGTTGGGACTCTAGAAAAAAAGTGCAGAGAAGAGCAACAAAGATGATTAGGGGACTGGAGGCTAAAACATATGAAGAACGGTTACAGGAACTGGGCATGGCTAGTCTAGTGAAGAGAAGGACCAGGGGAGACGTGATAGCAGCCTTCCAATATTGGAGGGGCTGTCACGGAGAGGAGGGGGGGTCAACCTATTTTCCAACGCACCTGAAAGCCAAACAAGGAATAACCGATGGAAACCGATCAAGGACAGAATTCAACCTGGAAATAAGGAGAATTTTTCTGACCGTGAGAACAAATCAACCAATGGAACAATTTGCCTTCAGATGTTGCGGGAGCTTCATCACTGGAAGCATTCAAGAAGAGACTGGACTGCCATCGGTCAGAAATGGTGTAGGGTCCCCTGCTTGGGGGGTGAGGGTGAGGGAGGTGGGACTAGATGACCCACAAGGTCCCTTCCAATTCTGTTTATTCTAAGACTCGGCATCCAGGTCATCCTGCTATCTAAGCCCACCCCCATCTCTGATTAGTAGCCCAGGGTCAAGTCTTCTCACCCTACCTATAACTGGAGGGTGGTCTGGCCCAGAGCAGCTAGGACAGTGGTTCTCAACCTGTGGGTCGGGACCCCATTTGGGGTCGATCGACCATTTCACCGGGGTCGCCAAGCAAGGCTGTCTGCCATTTTTTTTGTCCGCCATTTTTTTCCCCTTTTCCGGCGGGTGCCTTACCTCCCTTGGGCTGGGCCAGCTGGTGGTCGGCCTGCTCCGTCTCTGCCGCTTGCCAGCTACGCCTCGGCCGGCGCAGGGGGCGGAACCACACATGTGCGGCGCTCCCGGGCAGAGAAAGTCCTCGACTTACGACCGGTTGGGTAGTCCTCGACTTACGGCCAGTTTAGTCCTCGACTTACGGCCGGTTTAGTCCTCGACTTACGACCGGTTGGGGTCGCGGCATTAAAAAGGTTGAGAACCACTGAGCTAGGACAACTGGCAGATGGCTTCTCTCTTCCTCCCAACCTCCACCCCCCCACTCCCCAGTCCCCCCCTCCAGGGATGCTAGCCAGAAAAAAACAAATTGGGAAAGATGAAAAGGTCAGAAGGCCACAACCCCACCATCTGGAAAGCGTTGGGGGTGGTGCTGGAGGACCTCCAGGTGCACACACCCCCCCGCTTCTGCTCCCGGCCGAGTAGCCACACACACACACACACACACACACACACACCCGCGCGCGCGCACACCCTTGCCTGGTTGGGGTCGGTGGCCCGGAAGACGTGGCAGGCGACAGGCGAGTCGGGGTCGTCGGGCTGCGCCTTGATCAGGTAGGCGAAGTAGGTGAGGTCCTGGCTGTTGTGGACGAAGCGGGAGATGTGCTGCGCCTTGTGCTCGAAGATGAAGACGGCCGGGCCGGGGGCGCCGCCGCCGGGCGAGGAGGGCACGCAGCGCAGGGTGGGCGCGCCCAGCAGCAGCAGCACCTCCCGCGCCGGGGGCGCGCCCGGCTCGGGCTTCTGGCTGCGCCGCCGGACTTCGGCCATCAGCCAGGGCAACATGGGCAGCGTGGCTCGCCGGTCCAGGCTCGAGCAGCCCACGTACCAGAGTCGGAAACGCTTCTCGCCGCCCGGCCGGGCCGGCCCGGGACCAGGCTCGGCCTCGGCCTCGGCCTCGGGGGCCAGCGGGTGCGGGAAGGGCGCCGGCTCCATCGGGGCTCCGGGCCGCTTGCTGGCTCCCGCGGCGGGCTCCTCCCCTCCGCAGCGCCTCCGCCGCTGTTGCCCGCGGCCCCTCGCTCGCCCAGCCACGCGGCCGGCGCCGCCGAGCGGAGCGGGAGGCAGGCACGGTCCGCGGAGCCGCCTCGGGGCGCGCCTTCGCCTCCCCGCCTTCGGGCGTGCGGCTCCTTCCCAGGGGGTCCGGAGCCCCCCGGCGGGTCCCGAGAGCCCTCCGCGAGGTTGGTGGGGCTCCCGCCCGGCGAGGGTGGCCGGCTTCCTCGCCCTGCCCAGCCGGGAAGGCAGCCAAGCGGTGGCGTTGGAAAGGGGCCGCGGTGCCTGCGCCGCCTCCCTCCGGCCCCTCTCGCTGCCGCTGCTGCTGCTAGTGCTGGTGCTCCAGTTCTGACGGTGCGCCCGTTTCCTCCCCGGGTGAAGCTGTCGGGCCAATTAGGAGGAGACCTCGGCGCTGGGCGCGGGAGGGGAGGGGAGGGGAGGCTCCCCAGCCCCGCAGACGCGTCCTCGCAGATCAGCCGCCAGGAAGTCCAAGATTTGAAAAGCCTCAAAGGGTGCCTGGAAAGGGCCGAACGAGCTGAGTCGGACTTGCCCCCGAAAGTGGAATGGAATGGAATTTAGAATAGAGTAGAATAGAATAGAATAGAATAGAATAGAATAGAATAGAATAGAATAGAATAGAATAGACAATATGGAAGAGAGAATAGAGTAGAGTAGAGTAGAGTAGAGAAGACAATGTGGAATAGAGAATAGAATAGAATAGATTGATTGAAGAATAGAACAGAACAGAATAGAAAGAATAGAAGAAATTGATTGATTGAAGAATAGAATAGAATAGACAATATGGAAGAGAGAATAGAGTAGAGTAGAGTAGAGTAGAGAAGACAATGTGGAATAGAGAATAGAATAGAATAGATTGATTGAAGAATAGAACAGAACAGAATAGAAAGAATAGAAGAAATTGATTGAAGAATAGAATAGAATAGACAATATGGAAGAGAATAGAGTAGAGCAGAGTAGACAATATGGAAGAGAGAATAGAATAGAATAGAATAGAATAGAATAGAAGAAATTGATTGATTGAAGACTAGAACAGAATAGAACAGAACAGAAGAAATTGATTGATTGAAGAATAGAATAGAATAGAATAGGAATTAGAGTAGAGTAGAATTAGAGTAGAATAGAATAGAATTAGAAGAGAATTAGAGTAGAAGAGAATAGAGTAGAGTAAGAACAGAACATAACAGAATAGAATAGAAGAGTTGGAAGGGAACTTGGAGGTCTTCTAGTCTAGTCCAACCCTCTGCTCAGGCAGGAAACCCATTTCAGACAAATGGTTGCCCAATCTCACTTCACAACAGATCTTGCTGCAAAGTGCAGCTTCACATTCAGTTCATTGTCCAGTCTTTTCTTAAAAACTCCCAGTGTTGGAGCACTCACAACTTCCGCAGGCAGGCTGTTCAAACTGATTAATTGTGCTCACTGTCAGGAAAGTTCTCCTTAGTTCTAGGTGGCTTCTCTCCTTGATTAGTTTCCATCCAGTTGCTTCTTGTCCTACCCTCAAGGTGCTAAGGAGGAAGGAGCAGGAGCCCCCTCCCCCGAGTGGGAGCTTTGGAGGCCACCCCCATCTCTTGGGGGCCCAAAAGGGCTTTTGTAAAATCAGAGCCCGAGTATCTCTGCTACTCGTTTGGGCGGCTTGAACAAAATGTAAATAAATCGATTAGGGCCAGGCGCGCTTTGAAAATGCTCTAGTCTAGACCGCCCTCGAGCGGGACCAGCTGCTCCGGCCTGCAACACAACGGGACTCGCCCGAGTTTGCGTCTCTCACAGCGGAGGATACATGCCCGGGCTTGCTGACAACCCCACAGCTTGCGCGTTTGCCTGGGAAACAGCAGCTGTGCACTCTCGGGAGCTTGGCGAAGGTGCAACAGCAGCCAAACACCTGGTTCTCTTGCAGAGACGTCGGGAGCAGGCCGTGCACACACCTTGGCGTGCTCTTCGCGCCAGACACCTGCATGCACCGGGCGTTGTGTGGGGGGGGGGAGGTTTCCGAGATAAAACGCCTTTCTTTGTAAACCAAGCATGGACCTCTTCCCAGCACCGTTGGGGCAGCGCCCCCTTTGCCTCTGTCCGTTGTCGGCGGCTGGGACAATCCCTCTACAAATTCTTTCTAGTGCAGTGGTTCTCAACCTTTTTAATGCTGCGACCCCAACCGGTCGTAAGTCGAGGACTAAACCGGTCATAGGTCGAGGACTAAACCGGTCGTAAGTCGAAGACTAAACCGGTCGTAAGTCGAGGACTACCCAACCGGTCGTAAGTCGAGGACTTTCCCTGCCCGGGAGCGCCGCGCATGCGTGGTTCCGCCCCCTGCGCCGGCCGAGGCGTATCTGGCAAGCGGCAGAGATGGAGCAGGCCGACCACCAGCTGGTCCAGCCCAAGGGAGGTAAGGCACCCGCCGGAAAAGGGGGGAAAATGGCGGACAAAAAAAATGGCGGACAAAAAAAATGGCAGACAGCCTTGCTTGGCGACCCCCATGAAATGGTCGATCGACCCCAAATGGGGTCCCGACCCACAGGTTGAGAACCACTGGGGTAGAGGAAGGAAGGAATGAAAGAAAGAAAAAGAAATGGGGTAACTTTTCAGTCAGGCTAAATATATAAGCACCTGCTTTTGTGTTATAATATCCAAAGCTTCTCAGCTCTGTTAACTATTTGAGGGAGGGAGGGAGGAAGGAAAGGTGGAAGGAGAGAGAGGGAGAGAGGAAGGAAGGGGTAGAGGAAGGAAGGAAGGAAGGAAGGAAGGAAGGAAGGAAAGAAAGAAAGAAAGAAAGAAAGAAAGAAAGAAAGAAAGAAAGAAAGAAAGAAAGAAAGAAAGAAAGAAAGAAAGAAATGGGGTAACTTTTCAGTCAGGCTAAATATATAAGCACCTGCTTTTGTGTTATAATATCCAAAGCCATTTATGTGACTCAGCGTTAAAGCCGAGTGGTGTAAAACAACTTTAAACCAGAAAGAAATGTGGGCTAGGCCAAGTAAGTAGGTGATAAAATCCAACTGCGTCAATCCATTCGTATCAGTATGCAGAGAAATAACTCTGAAAGAGGGAAACTCTGGACTCGCCTTCTACTTAACCTCTAGAAAAAAAATTAGATTATCCTGAAAGGAAAACCTTTAAACTTGAATGAAAAGTTGCAGCCAACGCAGCACCTGAAATTTATTATTATTTATTTCTACTTGTCAACAGACGGACAAGTGGAATCCAAAGTCCTTGGAGCATCTGCTTTTCTCCCATTGAAGAATCCAGATCCTGCTTCTCTTCCTAAGGCCCTTCCTTGATTTCATGCTGTCCTTTTCTGCTTTATTCCAATTGACTTTCACTGCCTCCAGAAGGCCACCAAGGAGAAACTGCTAGCCCAGAGAATTGCACATTTATATGGCGAGAAGCATGAAAAAGCATCTTGATTGGGGAGGGGGGGGGAGACAGACCCTAGAAGGGTCTGCCTGCCTACTGCAGCAGCTCAGAACCACTGTCTCCCCCCCCCCCTCCATAGCACCAGACACACCCTGCTTTTTCTGCTGACCAAAATCTTGGTTTCCAGCTGGCATTTATTTATGGTTCATGAAAAAACTCATGAGAAGAACAGAGGTTCTGCTTTTGTAAAAACACAGACTCTCTGCAAGATTCCCCCCTTCCCCCTTTTGGTGTAAATAACTCAATGGTGACAGCAAGTCATCAATAGATGGAGCCCTTTCCTTGGCAGCATAGATGCAGTGAGCTGAAGAATTTCTTTTTTTAGTGAAGGATTATTCAAAATTACACCCGTGGCAATACAGACCCATGCCTTTTTCCCCCCCGTTGAATCAGTGGTATCTCCTGACAAATGCCTGGGCCATTTCTTGGCAAGGTTTTTTAGGAGTTGTTTGTCCTTCCTTCCTTCCTTTTCCTCCCTCCCTCCCTCCTGAGAGAAGGGCTGGCCCTAGGTAATCCAACTGGTTTTGTGTCCAAGGCAGGAGTAGAACTCTCCTTCCTTCCTTCCTTCCTTCCTTCCTTCCCTCCTTCCTTTCCTCCCTCCCTACTTCCTGAGAGAAGGGCTGGCCCTAGGTAATCCAACTGGTTTTGTGTCCAAGGCAGGAGTAGAACTCTCCTTCCTTCCTTCCTTCCTTCCTTCCTTCCTTCCTTCCCTCCTTCCTTTCCTCGCTCCCTCCCTCCTGAGAGAAGGGCTGGCCCAAGGTAATCCAACTGGTTTTGTGTCCAAGGCAGGAGTAGAACTCTCCTTCCTTCCTTCCTTCCCTCCTTCCTTTCCTCGCTCCCTCCCTCCTGAGAGAAGGGCTGGCCCTAGGTAATCCAACTGGTTTTGTGTCCAAGGCAGGAGTAGAACTCTCCTTCCTTCCTTCCTTCCTTCCTTCCTTCCTTCCTTCCTTCCTTCCTTCCTTCCC